TATATATATTATTATATATATATATATATANATATATATATATATATATATATATATATATATATATATATATATATATATATATATATATATATATATATATTATTGGTATTTTAATAAAAAAATTATATAATTAAAAATATTTATTTCTATTAATTAATATATTTTATAAATATATAAATTTTTATTTAAATAATATTTTTATAAAAATATTAGTTTCAATCTAATATTTTTTTTATTTTCAAACAACGTGTTTATTACAAGGTAATATATTATTTAAAATATAAAAAATTAAATTTCATATTTTTAGTTATTATTACTAATTTTTAAATAATTTAAAATATAATGATCTTAATTTTAAATTAAAAACTTAATACATTTTTAAAAAAAATACAATCAATTTTTTCTCTCATCAATTTAATAACTAAAAATAAAGCTTATAATTATTCACTTAAAATACAAAATTATTAATATTCTTATTGTTATTTTTTTTTATATAATATAATTAAATTCCTATAATTGTATAAATATAATATTTTTATTTTTATGTTTAAAAAAAAAAATACTATTAGATAATTTATTAAATAAAAACTATAAATTATTTCTATATTAATACTTTATTAAATTTTATAATATCTTTAGAGATATCAATAATATATTTTCTCATATAGATAAAAAAAAATACATCTATTAATTATTTTATTTTTTAAAATTTTTTTTTATTAATGAGAGGATATTTTTAATAAATAATTTATTAATATTTATTTCATTTAAGCTTATATAATACAAATTTTTATATATTTTATGCATGAAAAAAAAAGAGTTTAAATAAAAACTATTATATTTATATATGATCTAACTATTTTTTTGTTTATTATAAGTTATATATAGAAAAAAAAAAACTTATATTATGATAAAGCTAATAAAATGTGAGATTAACCAAATAAAACTAAATAAAATTAATAGGTATATAACAAAATATTCGAGTATGGAAATCTATAATATTGCTAAGCTATATTATTATTATAGAATAATAATATAAATAATAAAGAGAAATATAAAATTATATATATATATATATATATATATATATATATATATATATATATATATATATATATATATATATATATTAATTTTAATTTTATAAATCTATAATTTTATATAATAATTAAAGATTTATTAATTTTATTTCTTATAATAATAGTAAAATCAAATTTATTTAATAAAAATAAATATAATAATATAAAAATAATACTAAAAATAAACTAATATTATTTTATTTTTATTAATATTTAATAGTTTTATAATTATAAATAAAGTTAATATATATACAAAAATATATATATATAAATATATCTAAATTTTAAAAATATATTTTTTATTTATAAGAATCCTATAAATATTTAAAATTATTAACAAAAACATTTGTATTTATTTTTTTAATAAATAATATTTGTAATAAATTTTTAAAATAATTTTATTTTTTATACTAATTTTTATTTTATTTTTTTAAAGAATATGATTATTATTATTTTTTAAAAAAATATTAACCTAAATTTGTATTAAATTTGAACTTACATTAATATTTATATAATTATTTAATTAATTTTAAACTTTATAAAATTATATTATTATAAATTTTTTTAATTTATCTAAATATATTATAAAAATTAAATATTATTATTATATTATAACAAATATATATATTATATATTAAAAAATCTAAAAATAATATACGCTAAAATTTTTTAATTATGGATTAATATAATAAGAAATATAAATTTACATTTAAAAAACTAAATAAATAAGATAATATTTATTTTTAATTAAAATTTGATTTTTTTAATAATTTTTAAAAAATTAATTTTTTTTTTTTTATACTTAAGACATTAAATCAGTCTTCTATATGTAATTTGAATCATAATAAAATAATTATTGTTTGTAAAAAAAAATTAAATAAAGAGTTAATTTATTGAAATAATCAAAATTATTTATATATTTAAATATTTCAATATTAATTTTTATGAATAATAATTTTTTTTTTGAGTATAAAAATATTGAAATAATAATTACATTATTTTTTTATATGTAAATAAATTATTCACTTATTAAAAAAAAAATTATTTATTTATTTTCAATTAAAAATTTTGTTATTTTTTTATTATTATTAATTAAAAAAAATTCAATTATTCTTGATTATAAATTATCTTATGATTATTATTAGTTTACAAAATTAATATATAAAATAGAATTAGATTTATATATAAATTTTTTTATTTATATTAAAAAATATATTATTATTTTATAATTAATATTTTAAAAAATAATAAATAGATTTATTAAAATATAATTATTCAATTTTTATAAAAGATTATATTTATTTTTATTTTTAAAAAAAATTATAGAAATTAATAAATTATATTTTATAATATTAAATTTTTTATTATTAAAATATAAGCAATAATATTAAAAAACTATAATAAATATTAATTATAAATTTATTAATAGTTTTTTCCATTTAATAATATATTTTTTCTATATTTAAATAAATTTTTTTATATATTTAAAAAAAAAAAAAAAAATTATTAATATATAAATGTCAAATAATTTATTAATACTTTTAATTATAACATTATTTATTAATGAATTAAATGCTTTAGCATGTCCTGTTGGTACTTAGACAGCTGCTGGAGCATAATAAGATGATGCAATTATAAATTGTAATCATTGTAAAGCCAACTTTTACTATAAAAGTGTTGATGGTACTCCTTTCAATGCAGGTGCAAGTGTATGCACACCTTGTTCAAAAAATAAAGCTGCTGATGATGTACCCCCTCCAGCTGCTGCTTTAGGGGCTGATGCTACTATAGTCAATCAATGTAATGTTTCATGCCCTGCTGGTACTACAATTGCTAATCAATCAACTAATTATGTAAATGCGGCAACTGAATGTATTAAATGTGCTGCTAACTTTTATTATAGTGGTCCTAATGCTTTTATTGCAGGTACTAGCATATGCACACCTTGTCCAGAAAATGGAAAAAAAGATTTTTAGCTTGCTATATCTAATAAAGGTGATAATGCTACTATAAACATATAATGTAACGTATAATGCCCTTATGGCACTGTAAGTGCTACTGGAGAATATTATTGGGTATAAGCAAAAACAGATTGTGTTAATTGTGATGTTAATTTTTATTTTATTGGTGATGCTTTCATTGCAGGCACTAATAAATGCTTAGAATGCCCATCAAATAAAGCTTAAGGTGTGGCCACTGCAGGTAGTATTGCTACTATAATTTTACAATGTTCTCTTGATTGCCCTGATGGTACTGTACTCAATGATGGAAAAACTACTAAATATGTAGCTGATTCAAAGGAATGTGTCAAATGTGCTGCTAACTATTATAATCAAAAAAGACTTGGTTGGCTAGCAGGTACTGATATATGTATTGCTTGTAATATAAAATTAACTTCTGGTGCTACAGCTAAATTACCTTCTGATGCTACTTAAGCTACATAATGTGGTTCTTTCTCTTAATTTTTATAAGTTTCCTTAATTTTTATTTTTTCTATTTTTTATGAAGAATAAAATAAGTATTATTTATTTTTGTTTATATTAATTTTTTAAATTTTATAAAATTCAAATTTAAAATCAAAATTCATAAAAACTTATTTTTTATATAATGATATATTTATAAAAATAATTTTCTTTTATTATTAATATTGTTTAAATATTAAAAAATAAAAATAAAAAAGTAAAGAAATATTTAGAATTTGATATATATTAAATATTTATGAATTTATTATTGCTATATAATAAATTTTAACAAAATATGACATTTTGATTGCTTTATATTACTAATTCTTTAAAAAAATATATTTTTGCATCTTTTTGTTTTTTACTTATAAACTAAAATTGTAAAATCAAAAAAAAAAATTATATAATATAAAAAAACTATAATTAAACATGTTTAATAAATATATTTTAATTTAATTCATAAATAAAATTTTTAAATATTATAAAACTAAAAATTTTAATATTTTAAAAAAATAAAAATATTTTTTTCTTTACTTAGATAATAATTAATTTTAAAAACAATACAAAATATATTATTTAAATAATAAAACTGTATAATAAAATTATAAGCAAATAAAACTTTAAATAATATAAAAAAAAATATTAAAAAAAAAAAATATCTAAATTTATTGTTTATATAAAACCTAGATTTTATGCAAATGAATTATAGCCTTTAATCTAATTATTCAAGTTATTGATTTTTTTTTTAATAAAAATATATATTATAATTGAATGTTAATAAAATTATATTTTATATATTCTTAATCTTTACATAACCTTATGGTAATAATAATACATATAAAAAAAAAGATAAATTATTTTAAATTTTGTTAATAAAAATTTACAAAGAATAATATTTAAAATGTAGAATATAAAATTAAAAAATTAACAACAAAAAAAATAAATAAAATTAGTAGTATAATTTTTATAAAACTAATAGTTTATTATATAATAAATGTACATTTATATTTTAATAAATATTTTATAATATCTTTAAAATACTTATTATTTATTATTGTATATATGAATAATGATAAAAAAAATAATTGCATTTTTTTTATTATTTATTAAAAATATATAATTATTTTTTTTTTAAATAAAATAAGAAATCTATTTTTAAATATAAATAATAATAATTATAATTTGTAATTTAATAATAATTTTTTATTATATAATTGTTATATATATATATACATATAAATATATATATATATATTATTTTAATATTTTAATTTAAATTTTAATTTAAATTATATTTATATAAATAAATAAAAATTTATAAAAATTTTAAATATTTATTAACATTAATTTATTTTTTATCATTTTTTTTTTAAAAATTTATTCTATAATTTTCTTTATATTTTTTTATTAATTAAATTATTTAAATAAATATTTTTTAGTAATTTTATTTATTAATTATATATAATAAAAAATAATATTAATATTTTATTAAAAAAATAATCCATATTTTTTTTTAATATTTTATTAATTTTATTATACAATTTACAAATATTATAAACATTATAAAATAATATTCATAGTAAAAATATTATTATACTTTTAATATTTTACAATTGATTTTATTTATAAATTTATATTAATGTAGATTTTTCAATTATTAATTATGAATTAATTGTTTATAATTCTAATTTAAAATTTTATATTTTTTATATATCTATAAAAATATTTATAACTTAATAAGTTTTTATTTAAATAAAATAAAAATTATTAAAAAACTTAAAAGGAGCTACTAATATTAATCAAAATTATTTATATAATTAATATTTGTTATGGTTTTTTAAATAAAAAAAATTAGATATACATATAAAAAACAAATAATTAAATTTTAAAAATTTTTATAAAATAATATATATTAATTATATAAAATACATACATTTTATAATTAGAAATTTTAATATATAATATCAATATAATTTATATATCAAATATAATCTTCTATATATTTTCTTTTTAATTTTATCTTTTCGAACAGCATAATTATTTTAATAATATATTTTATATTTTAGATAGCTTACCTTTTTATTATAAAATATTTTTCTAAAAATTTATAACATTATTTTTGTATAATTCAATTAAATTAAATAATCATTTATTTTATAAAAAAGTAAAATTGTAAATAATATTTTATTTTTTTATCTTTAAAAAATTAATTTTCTTTATTATTTTTTATTTCAAAAAATGCTTTTTTGAAAATTTATAAAAATAAAAATATATTCAAAGACTTATAAATATATATAAAGTATATAATATATAAATTATAAATATATTGATTGACTGCCCACAATTTATTAGATCTCTATTTATTTTTATTTTTAATTAAATAATATAGACACTCATATCAATAGAAATTTTTGTTTTTAATATATTAGTAAATCAAAAGTTAACTATATTTTTTTAGATTTTAAAAGAATTTGCATAATTATTAATGATATTAAATTTAATTTTATAATATAGATAAAAAATTAATTTATTTTTAATATGAAGTAAATTTTAGTATGAATTACATATAAAGAAAAACATAGAATAATATTCATAATAGAAAATAATAAATTATTTTATTATTATATATATTGTATTATATTATTAACTTTTATTAATAATATTTTTGATAATGAAATATTAATTAAAATTTATATTAGAAACATTAAAAATTAATGTAATATACAAATTCTAAATAATCAATTTTTAATTTTTTAAATAATAAATGTTTATCCTTTGTTTTTTTTATTATAATATTTTTTTTTTATGATTAAACTTCTTTTCTTTTTAAGTTATTAAATTTTTTTTTTTAATTTTTAAAGAATAAGAAAAGTTTTTATTTTAATTATTTTTGATAATTTAAAAAATATATAAAATAAATAAATATTAAAAATTTATTTTTCTTTTGATATATATTATAGAAAATTTAATTTCATTCATTTTAAAAATTATATATATTTTTTTATTTTATAATTATTGTATTTCATAAAATAAATTATATTATATTTATGTTTTTATTTATTTTTATTTTATTTCAAATATAAATAGCTCTTATAAGTTTTTAGCCTCCTTTATAAATTGATTTTATGCTTTAATATGAATAAAAAATTATATTTATAAATAAATGAATATTAATTAAATATATATATTTCAATAAAATTATAAATTATGATTTTATATTCATGTTTTATTAATATAATGTATTTTTTCTAATCTTATTTAATTTATATTCTTATTTTTTGTTTTATACACACTAACGATTTTTATTCTTTTGAATTTAAAAGACTGATAAATAATTTATGCCAATTTTGAAAAAATAAATCGGATTACATTCAAACGATTCTGCCTTTTTTTTAAAAAAAAATGTTAATTTAAGTTTATATTAGATTATTTATCTTTTTTGATTCTGAGCATTTAAAATATGAAATAATTATTAAAAATAATGTTAATGACAAACATATTATTAAAATGATGTAGTAAAAATCAATCAAATGTAAAAAAATAAAATATAATTTATTAAATTATAAATAATAAATATGTTATTTTATTTTGTATTTATATAAAGATAATAACATAATATATGTGGCAATTATATTAATTTAAAATCTAATAATAATTTATATTTAATATAATTATAGGATATTTGTATAATATATATATATATTTAATTATATTTTTTTTTATGAGTTAATAAATACTTATATTAAAAAAATATATATTGCTTTAAATAATAAAAAAATTATTTATTAATAAATATATTAATATTTCTAATATTATTTTTATTATATATAAATTTAAATTCAATACTTATATTTATTATTTAATAATTATTACTTAAGAAGTTTTTTATTT